ATCCCTTCCTTAACCTTCCCTTCCATCCCTTCCTTAACCTTCCCTTCCCTTCATTTAACGCTTACCTTAAATGAAGTCAGCTTTCTGCTGCGGCGCCGTTTTAAAGCGCCCTTATGTTGCCGCGCTGTTGTCGCGGCGGTGATGACACGTGATGATGACGTCGCGGCTTCAGCACCGCGATTTTATCACCACGATTTTGACCAGCGCGGTTTTGTCGTGCCACGACCCAGGAGAGAAACAACTTAGAACTGAGGAGAAATTTCCTGACAGTGAGAACAGTTAATCAGTGGAACAGCTTGCCTCCAGAAGTTGTGAATGCTCCAACACTGGATGTTTTTAAGAAGAGACTGAAAAAAGCTTGCCTTCAGAAATTGTGGGCGCTTTATCACTGGAGATTTTCAAGAAGAGAGTTGACAGCCACTTATCTGAAATGGTGTAAGGCCGTGATGGTGAACCTCTGGCACATGTGCTGAGGTGGCACACAGAGCCCTCTCTGCTGGCACATGCGCTGTCACCCCAGGTCTGTTTCCCTGCAAATGACAAAACAAGATCCTTCCTACCTCTTGCCACGCTGCCGATGTTGGGATGCCCCACCTCTCACTGACCAGCTGGTCTTCAGATATCTCTTGTGCATGTGCATATACCTTTACAGATTGGGCATGTGTGTGCACAGTTTGGGCACTGGGTGTCTAAAAGGTTCTCCATCACTGGTGTAGGGTCTCCTACTAGAGCAGAGGACTGGACGAGAAGACCTCCAATATCCCTCCCAGCTTTATTCTGTTCTATCAATCATCCCTCATCATGTTCACCTCTTCTTCCAACTTCAACCTCATCTCTCCATTGGGAAAACAGTAATAGGTGGATGGTTTCCTGCTGGCTGATGAACTTTGATTGATGGAAGGGGAACGAAAGCCATCACTTTGAACTTTTGCAGTAAATCTAGAAGGAGAACACTCTCCTCTCTTCAATAGTCAAGAACAAGGCTTGATCTGGAGCTGTCCAATGTATATTGCATTTCTTGGCTAACTCAAGACCTGAACCAAAGTTCTATATCATAAGTGCAAAGAAGAAGAAGAGCTGGAGATAAGCAGCTTCCTGAGAAAGTGGCTTTTGTAGTCCAGCCATCCTTCCTTCTGAGAAAACATATTCATAGAGAGTTTATTTGAATTTCCAGGTATTTAGAGGACCAGGATAGAAGTGTAACATTCCAAGAACATAAGAGAGATCAACATTACAGCTTGTAGCAAGTCTTCTGATAAGAGATGAGGAAGTGAATGATGACCAACATCTTGCTTTCCCCACATGACTCTGATAGGTAGAGTATCAACTCATTGATACCCCTGTCAATGTCAAAGAGCCCATCACAACTCTTTCCCTCCTTGGGACATTCCCAATGTAGGAAAGAAAAATAACAATCTTGCCCGCTACACTATGTGTAGCAATCTTAAAAACTTTGAAATCTACAATCAAGTATTTCAAAGTCACTTGATTGGATTTACTGCTTCAAAACAGATTGCCTGCTTCCGTTGGCATACCGGCTTCGATGGGATGATTCAATCAAAGCTTTGTCAAATCAAAGCAATACTTTGAAGCCTTGCACAGCCTTCAAAGTGTTTATTCTCAGCCTCAGACTTCCTATCCCCTTTCTCCACCAAGATATATCT